ATCTTTAATGAAAAACTAAATGGTAGGTGGAATACCAGATATGCCGATGACATCCATGTCGGGATATTCATTCTGGAGGTAATCAAGAACATTTTGTACACCTTTTGACACCATGTTCATTCCCATTGCATCACCAGTGCTACACACAAATCTCATGTATAGATTCTTTCCCGCAATTGCGCATTGAATCCTTTGTAATCTGGCAAATCTGCTTGACCTGCAATATCCAATTCAAACGCAAATATTACATAATCATACAACACAATATTCAAATGCACACTGAGAAATATAGTAAACAGCATGCACTCACTGGTTGAAAACAGCAGCAAGTGTCTCAAATTTGACAGGATCTTCAACAAAGAACTTCAACTCCGCCGCCCTTTTGGCAGTGCCAAACCTGACACAAGGTGCTCTGGTCATCCCATCGCGGAGCAACACGCTAGTGGCACCGCCAGAAGCATAGATAGCCTTGCAACCCCTGTTGGTGCTAGCCACTAAACATCCTTCAGTGGTTGCCATTGGTACCGAATACTCTCTCCCGTCGAGCAACAACGGCCCGGCTATTCCAACGGGTATCTGCACGTAACCGATTGGCATCTCACAGCACTGCCCAAGAATGGATTCATAATCAAATCCCTCCAGAGGGAGCCCTTCTAGAGACTTCCCCGTAATCCTCTGCAACGCCTCTTTACGAATGGAAGCAGCTCTCTTACAATCACCGAGTTTCGATTCCAAAGAGTACGACGGCATTTTCCCCTGCACCACGGATTTAATGATCTCCTCGTCTTCCTCAGACGCTGCTGGTGTAACCAAGGGCGCAGGTTTTTCGGACATAGCTGCGACCTTGGAAGGTTGCGGTGGTACCATTGGGACAATTTGTAGAGCAGGTGGTGGTGGAACAGCAGTGCAGCCAAGAGTAGTTGCAGGTCCACGACGACTATCTTCTTCCAAGAGAAATTGCTCATCGTTTTCATCCTCAACATCCCAACATTCATCATTATTATCCCTGGAAACGAACGACTGAACAAACCCGATCCCGAAGAACCCCAGAAGATAAATCACGGAAGCAATCAATGAAGCAATGGCAACTAATTCAGAAAAAGTAACCACGTGGAGAGGAGTGGAGTTCCTGATTTTCTCAC